AGGATGTTACAGTGCTGGAACCAAGTGCTGTACAAAGAAACCAAGAAATGCATGAAAAAGGGAATTGTGTTTAAATCATCACATCAAATGAAAGAAAAACCCAAATGAATGTGAAGAGAACATGAAATTTCCTCTTTGATGTTCTGTGCTGGGAAGGTTTCAATCTTTTTTTAAAGCTCCTCCTCCACTCCCTTCCTTCTTATGGGATTGTATCCAATATTCCAATGTTCATGTAATGCCTTGACTTTGCTATCATTCTTCTCGGGATAATTATAGGTTAGTATAATGTACCTATTGTTCTGTTCCACAAAGCAGCACTGTCATACGGACGGCAGGGGTGGGGTGGGGGGGATCTCTGTGTGTTCTCCTGCATCCACACTGTGTCTTTAATTAGTGTTCTTCCTCGTCTTTCCTTTTTTATTTCAATTTTTTTTTTTTCCTTCCCATGGTGAATTCCAAGCACTTCCCCTTCTCCAACTGCTGGTCTCTATTTCCAGTTATGCCAGTGCCCTGTTTTTTTGGTTTTGGCTAAGTTCATGCCCATCATAGCAGGTTTGCCATTCAGATGAAAAAAGCATGAAACCCAACTAGTGAGCTATTGGTATTTACAGAGACAGCAGATAATTTTTTCTTTCCTAAAACTTATTGGTGGAGTCCCTTACATTATCTTGCCTGACTTTGTCCTGAATTTGGAAAGAAGAAGACACCTACCCTGTGCCCAGGGGCTGCACTCTGCTCTCGGGCCCTGCTGCACAAGGCACTGCACAAGCGTGTACCAACACGGTCCCTGGCTCCCAGCGCTCACACGTTTTTCAGCAACAGCATTTGTCTTTGCCCTCCAGGTGCAGGTGTGGGAGACTGCTATGGAGTCTTGTAAAGTGGTTTTGGTGCTGGGGCATCGCTTGTGTTCACCAGACAAGGTGCTGAGTACATTACCGGGTACCTGAGAAATATTAAGGAAAGGCTGAAGAGCCCAGTTAAATCTCTGTTGTCATACACGGGAGATAAATGTTGGTTCATAATTGGTGGAGAAGCTGTGTAATCAGTTGCTTGCTTTCTATTGTTGCCACCTCCAAGATAAATAGTATTCAGGGCTGGGGCTGTATTTTAGCCAGTAAAGGCTGTATAAGCAAATAGGTTCATCTTGATTAGCTGCTGTTTTGTTTCGCTGTAAATGATTTTTTGCCTTTGAGCCAAACAAGTGGTGTGGAGAGATGGTTCCCGACTAGCCCATCAAAGGAAAACCGTAGTGGGGTGGTTTATTGTTTTTCAGGACTTCACACAAGTTCCTCCTCTTTGAATGTGGGTTTACCAGAATGATGAAATGGGAAACCTCCAAACAACGGCATTTTTGAAAACCTATTTTTATAAAGCAAGGAATTACAGATTTTGGAGGAATCTGGATTAAAACCCTTCTGCTAGCAAGGAGCGTGCCTCAAGTGCATGCAACTTCCCTGCTGTAAAAGTGGACAGAAGTGTGATCAGAGGTCAGAACTCTGTCTCCTCTCCTGCAGTCCCTGGGCTTCCTCTTGCTCCTGCTGCATAAAGCCAAAACACACGGTTTTCACTGGAATGTCTCTTTTAAAACGGCCTTCCATGATTCCTGGAAAGACAGAAAGTTTCATCTACACTGTCATTGCTGGGTTGTTCTGCCACAGGAGATGACTTCTAGTGTGAAGCCTTTAAAATCGTCAATGTCTCCGCACACCTTTGCAGATGTGCAAACCTGAAGAGGTGTAGTGTCCATCTCTGGGTGTGTGGAGTGCAGGAGAAGGGACATGGTGGATGGAAGTGGACTTCTTCCTGTGCCCTGAGAATGTGATCTTTTTAAAACAAAAATTAATCTCTTTCATAATTGTAATTTGTAGAATTGTGTCTCCAAAACAAAAGAACCAACACAGATGCACAATTTGGCAAGCTGTGAATGTTAAACAGCCAACCTCTTCCTCCCTGGTGTAATTCCATGAGCTTCAAGGGAATCGCACCAGTGGCAGCAATCTGGCCTAAAATGCCTTTGACTAAAGCTTGCTGGTTTATGCCTGGTGTCCCAAGTACCGCTGAAGGAGATTTGGTGTTTCAGAAATGGATGAAATCCATGTGTTCAGTGCAGCATGCTGAGAAACACACCCACGTGTGAGCACACACACACACACACACACACACACACACACACACACACACACTCACACACACACACACACACTCACACACGTCCACGCAGGCGCATGCCTGTGCATCCCTTCCTGGGGATCTTCCCAGAACTGGGACGTGCTTGCCAGGTGTCTTTGCAAGCCAGCTCTGGCTGTGTTTTGTGTGTTGGAGAAGCACAGGGATGCTCCTCACAACCGGTCTCGCCTTGTGCTTGCTTATTGTGTTTCTCCTTTGTATCCTGAAGTGGAAACCACAGGTTCATCCCAGTCAGATCCGGTAAGTGATTGCCCCCGTTGGACCAGACCCAGAAAAATTCCTCCCGCCGGCTTAAGCATATTTACATACCACAGGTCATTACAAGTTGGCGCTCACCTTTGTATTCATTCCCACGTGTCAAAGCAGAGATATTGGTTCATTTTTCTCCCCCCCCCCCAATGTTTCTTCTATTTTCTAGGTTACCTTTTTTTGAAGGAATAAGAAAGCCAAAGGAGCTATCCCCATGGGTCCTGACATCTGCTGCAGTCATTCTTACAGACTCAAAGGAGACCTAGGGAAGGAGAGGGAACAGTCTGGCTGCAGTCTCTTATTGTTTCTCTTTCGTGGGCCCCCACCCTGCACCCTCCTGGGCCTGCAATCCACTAACTAGCTCCTCCTGACTCCAGCTGTCATTTTTCCTTTTTATCTACTCCTCTCTCAAAGAACCAAATGTCATCTCTTGTTGTTCCCTTAGCTGGGGTCAGAGACTCCTTTATGTGCTTTACGCTGATCAAGGATTTTTAGCTGGGAATGAGAGCGGTAATCAACTGCATGGTTGGGGAAGGGGAGAGATTAAATCTGAGAATTGCCAGTGATTGCCCCACGTGAAGAACAGCAGCTAGCAAAACACATGCTATCATTATGCTCTTATGATTATTTTATTCCCTCGGTGACAGTAAAATGCTATCTGTAGCAGAAAGGTAGGACAAAGTCCATTCTTCTTTAGCCCTGTGGTGTTCAATGGATTTTCAGTGGGGTAGAATTGGGAAAATTTAGATTTACAGTGAGGAGTGACTCCTATTTTCAGACCTCTATCTTGGAGATTTCAAGAAAGGGAAAAGGCCAATCTAATATCTGTTTGTGTTCTAATTTGAGGACCCACTTTTGTTCGAAGATGGGCAGCCGTTTTTGTTGCCAATCTTGATTCTATAGCTATGGGGAAGTCATTGCAGAGTGTAGTGGGATGTGACCTCTGCTATGTCCTGACACTTCCACTTCATCAGCCAATTTTGGGACATGCTGGCTGAGTAAAAGTGGGGACAGGAAGGGTCCATGGTTTATTTTTCTGGTTTATTCAGGAGAGAATCAAGCTCCAGTGCCTGCAACAGATTGCAAACTGTAAGTTTCACAGTCAAACACAGGAAGGCAAAATGGTTTACAAGCAGGCTAAATGATGATAAATACCTTTGATTGATTAATTACTTTAATATTAGTAGCCTAGACTGTGTCCTTCAATATGCTCTGTTTAAAGTCATGTCAGTCCCTCTAAAATGTCTTCTGTTGTTAGAGACCTGTAGGAAGAGTAGTACAAAGTGTCCTGATTCTCCTTTTACACTGATGGAAGTCAAAAGTACTCTGAAGTGTGCAGGAACTGAGTCAGCCCTCTTCCAGAGAAACATTTTCTTCACAACAGGAAAAGAGGCTGTATTTAGAGTTTGTTTAATTAGGCGAGACCTGACTGGTGGAGAAGGAGGTTTCACTGAACTCAAATTGCCAACGTTTGCTGAGATGTGTGTTAGGGACTAACACACTATTGTTGTATTCTGTGTTTATTCTCTAGGCATTTGACAATGATTTTTGTTAATGCTTTCAAAATCTGTTCCTTTCTTAGCAACTCCAGCTCCTAGAAGCCATGAACTGGATGGAAACTTCAGTTTTATACCTGAAAGTTCTGGCTCTGCTGGATGTAGAAATGTCTGTATCTAAAATAATCTACCGGTTCACAAACAGGACCTTGCTCATAATTTTTTGAGTGATTTAATTTGGAAATACTGTAAGTACCAGGTGCAGGTGGTAGCTGGAATACAGGAAGAAAGATGAGAATATCAGGATAAAAAAGAATTCCTTACCCCAAATCCAGGATTAAGCTTTCTGAACTTGGACTTCATCCCATTCCTATTTTTCCAGTCAAAATAGGAGATGTGCCTGCATCTCAAGTTTAAGATGGAACCTATTGGTTAAGTATCAGTCAAATACTAGATTGTGAAGCTCCCTGATGTGGGAGATGTGGAGTTGTGCCTGACCTGACTTTTCCTGCTTCCTCCTACCATGAAGTTTCAGCTCCATCATTTGGAATGGGTCTTTAGATACAGTTTTGAGATCTGTTCATCCCTTGTATGCATTATGATATGGAAAGAAGTATGGATAGGATGAGTCCACAGTCCTAGAGATACAGCTGCCTTCTTGGTCTCTTCCTTTGTCTTTCTGTGTAGCGTGGGATATGGATCACCTCCTGAGACCATATGAGCACATTCATTCCATGAATCCCTTGGAATTGTACATGCCTGAGAACATGAGTGATGCCCTTTTCCTGGGGCAGGTGCAGTACGTGAGAGTCCTAATGTTTTTTACTATAGATCTTAAGGATTTTTAGAATCTTGAGAATTTGCACCCCATTTTTTTGTGGACTTCTGTGTGCCAGATACCTTGTACATTATTTTCTGGGGTTACTGGAGACTGGGCTCTATCTTTCTGTTCATAATTTCCAGTCCTTTGCTGTTCAAAGACACACAGTCCCTGCTGTGTGCCGTTCCATTTACTGCTCCCTTTTCACTCCTTCCTTGCCATCTTTCCTTCTTTATTCAAATCTGTCATTCCCAGTGGTATTGCTGTTTTGTTCAGTGGGAGCCATGATTAACAGTTTCCCCTTGGACTGATTTGGATTGACACCTGTCTTTTCAAGCCAGCAGTCTTTGAACAAATCCCTCAGTACATAGGCAAATACCAACACAAAGCTGTGACCTCATTCTTCTTCCATCTTGTGCAGTCTTTTTACCTTAGCAAAGTGGGTGTAAAATACTAGGAGGAAACAGAATGGAGTGCTGAATCTGTACAAACTTTAATGGCACCAAGCAGACAATCGCATGGGGAAATGATGTTTTTGAAGTTCAAATTCAGGCCTTAAATCCAGACTGAAGTTAAAATGTAATTTGTCATCATTTACCTGTCGCTGCAATGTTAAATGTTTTAGAAAATCAAGTTGTATTTTTCTGCTTCCACCTCTTTTCTTTTCTGTGCTGTTGTTGTACTCAGCTGTGGTGACAGTTGCAATCGTACAGAGAGAACAGTGGCACAGGTTGCCCAGGGAAGTTGTGGATGCTCCACTACTGGATGTATTCAAGAACAGGTTGGATGGGGCTTTGAGCAACCTGGTCTAGTGGGCAGTGTCCCTGGCCATGACAAGGGGATTGGAACTAGATGATCTTTAAGGTCCCTTACAACTAAAACCATTCTATAATTCTATGATTCTACAACATAAATACATCCCTGAAGTGACTATAAAAAATACAACCCTGAAGGAAGCAGAGGATTGCAGAAACAAAGTATTATACTAATACTGCCATTTTTGAACACTAACAACTGTCTAAAACATGGGTATTGCTAGAACTTGGTACTCTTCTTCCTGCAGAACCATGTGTTCTGGGATTCTTCTCCAGTGTTTTATCAGTGTTTTCTCTTTTACATAAGTAGACTTAACAGAAAACAGACAAACCTACCTAAGAAAAAACATGCAGAATAAAGATCCTAAAAAGTGTCAGACTTTGGATATTAGAAACAATCTCAAAACCATGTCAGCCTACAGTAAATTATAACCATACCTGCTATCACCTCAAATCCTCTAGGAATTTTTGCCACAGATGCTTGCCAGATGCTGTAGCAGTTTCCAGCTGTTTCTCCACTCTTGGATGCATGAGGCAAAATTGAGAAATTTGGACAAACTTATGAAAGGTAAAATGAAGTAGGAGCTGCTTAGTGGGAACAGACAGAATTTCATCTAAGATGATGCTGACTGGAGACATAGATGCCAGCTGTTCATCAGCTGGCTTCATACTGAAGATTAATTTTCCTTGAGCATGCTTTGGACTTGAACTTCTCCTCCCTCCTTCAGTCTTTTGGCTTGCTAGACCAAAGGAAGGAGTATAAGAAAGATAGCCATGAACTTATCATTCATGTAAGTATATAATTTTCTTCTAATTTAAATTCTCTCTGGCAAGAAGTCATGTGGAAATCTAAGCTCCTCATTGCCCCCTGCACAAGAACAACCTGGAAGGGATCATTGACATTAAATTGACATTAAATGTCAAATAAACACCATGCATTCTTTGCATTCAAAAACTAAATGTGAGTTCCTGTAGCTTCAGACGAAAATATTCAGAGTCATTCATGGCAGCCTTATAAACAAGCATCAATGTGGCAGTGAATCATTTGTAAGTATATGCTATCTGTGCATGGGCAACACCACAGATCAGTGATAGTCAAACCTGAAAAGTTTCATTCTTGATTGGACCGAGAGGAAGCGACATAATCACCAGGGTGTGGTAACCTGCTGCTGTGCTGTCTTTGGTGCTTTGTCATCACTGTTGTGCATTGGTGGTAGGCTGGGAGCAGATGCCTTAGTGCAGTGTCAGACCATCACACTCTGATTAGCCTGTAGAATGTAGTTGTGTTTTCCTCCAGACTGCTGGTGAAAAGAGTTGCTTCTGACATCTCCATCTTTCTGCCTCTCTCTTTGGCTACATCAAAGAGTAAAGAACAATCTCTAATGCTTTGAAATACTGGCTAAGCCTTCTTGTTGAGCAAAGAGAGGCTCTGATTAAGCCTATGGATTCTTCAAGAATCTACCTATGTGTGATGTGTTAAGGAACTGAAGTTGAGCGTTGTTGAACTATGTGAGACCTTAGATTATTTTCTGACTTCTGCAAAAATGTCCTGTGTGTCAGTGAGTGACTTGAAGCTATCTCCTAGTCTTTCTCTTTATGTTGAGGAAGATTGTGTGTAACTGTTTAGTGTATATTATGTAAAAACTCCAAAGAAAGATTATCTGAAGGGCTTTTCTCTCATAACTCTCACCAAAGATGATGTCTTCACTGCATATGGCTTTCGGTTCTCTTTGGGGCGGGGCGGGGGGGGGTAAGGAGACAGTGTATGTTTGGAGACAAAGGAGATGGTCATTCTATTGTGCATGTGATTGAACCAACAATGTTACTGTCAAATAGTAGCAGTTCCTAAGCTAATCACAATGGAGAACCCCCAGCTGAGGACAGAGGAGACATTTACCTGCACCTGTCCTGCTCAGTAGCAACTACATCAAGATGATTCATCTGTGTGTAATGGTCCTCAGCAGCAGAAGACTTCCATCCTGTCCTTACGTTGGGACCTTTTTGCTGATCCTTCCACTTTCTTCTCTTCTCAGCTCCTGCCCATGGAGGGACTCTTCCCTTCCCCCTTCCATTGCCTTGGAGCTATTTTGCTTCTCCTGATGAATGTCGAGTGCTTTGGGCCTGCAGCCCTAATAGGTGGGGGCTAAGACTTGGATCTACCCCCGAGACAGAGTGGAGCCAGCAAAGACGGGTTATTTTAAATTGTGTGGTGACAAGCCTTTCTTTTTTCCCTCCCTTTTTGTTCCCAGAGGATAGCCGGGGTAGTTTGTTGTGCCAAATGCTTGGAATGTGGTTTTTCTCCCCTTCCTCCCCCTTCAAAACAGAAAGAGGAAAGTTTATGCTGTGAATTGTGTTAATTGGGGGACATAAATCCAAGCTAGGCAGCGTTGCTGGGCCTAGGCACCTATTGAAGTTTAATGAGGGAAGAGCAGTTTTCTCTTGCTCTCCCCTCTTATGCTCTCCCCACATCAAACTCTTTCTTGTGGTACAGTCCTGTTCAGATGGGAGTATGGGAATGCCAGGGAGAGGGTGTGTGTGGGTCCAAAGTTCTCACGGGTCTGAACACAAAATGGGACTCCTTTAAAATAATGCCACCAGAGTGAGGGGTGGACATTGGCCCAGGCTGGAGCTAGCTGCGTAGCCAGTGTAGGAAAAAGAGGTTTCTCTGGAACCCTCTTGTCTGAGGTTGGCTACAAGCCCACTTGAGACAAATCCACACTGCAACAGAGATTTGATGGTCTGTGTTCCCTGCATTTCTGCATGGATGACAGGGTCCCATGCAGGATTTTATATGACTTCTTACTCCCTGTGTCAGGCCTGATGCTTTCTCAGAACTTCATGATGAAGTATTTCCGTCTGATTTCTGTCTGACTGGCTGAAGAGATGCTTCATTGTGTCCAGAACAGAAAATATGATTCCTTCTTCCTGTCCCACCGGTGGTACTGGGAATAAGTCGGTGCCCATTAACTTGTAGAGGATGTAATGGAATCTCTTACATGAAAATCCAACCTGGGAGGGCCTTCATCAGAGCACGAATGGGAGTAGAATTACCCTGAGTGTAATAACATCTACTTTAGCAGAGATGGACAAGTTCATCTGAAATGGCTCTGGAGTGAATGCCAAAAGCAAAGCTTCCCTTTGGCACTGATGTTTCAAGAAGAAGATAAATTCACATTGTGGAAGAAAGGTAGATTGGGAGAGTAAAAGGAAGAGAGCTTAAATAGAAGGCCCTGAGAGTCCCAGAACTTATTGAAACCAATACTGACTGGCTCTGAGGTCTGCTACAATAAAATAATAAAACTGTCAGGTAAAAATGCTTCTTATGGTGGTGCAAGACCAGTGTTCATCCTTCAGTTCCAGATAATATAACATTACTACAGGAGGTATTTTAGTCTGCTGGTAATATTTTACTGCTTTTGCTTGCGAGCTCATCACTATTTGTGAAGCATTAAGCATGAAAATTCTTATTTTTATCAACCTCACCAGCCCTTGCTGATGCAGCACTGGAAGTCTGGGAAGAACCATTTGCTTTTGCTTTGAGAGATGGGATGAAAGGTTAGAGGGGGTGGGTGGTGATCGCATGAGCAATGCAGGTCATGTTACCAGTGGATTCCTCTTGCTAGATAAGTGAGAGCCCTCTGAAAGGTAATTATTGGAAAGCATAAATTCCTGAGATAACCTGTCCAAGAAGAAATACTGACAGGAGCAGAGGCCATGTGTTAAAGGCTGGCCATTACTCCAGGGCAATGGGCTCACCTCTCTCTCTCTTTTTTTCTGTAACCTCTCCTTGCTCTGACAGTTGACTCTCTTGGTTCTTTTCCTTCAGTTACTTGTTGATCTTTTCCTGGTCCTCTTTATAGACCACTGTGATGCTTATCTCCATTCTCTACTAACTGGGGTGCAGACAAGTGGAGACTCAGTATGCACTTTAGTTCCATGTCCAAATTCATGTTTAGCCATTGTCTTTGTTTGTCGTTGTCACTGCAGTGTTCAGGTAGCCTTTACGGCATGTCTGGAAAAGAGAAGGGTTGCTCTTGTATTTCTTAAACTTATTATTTGTATAGAAGAGCTTCAGCTAGCTCTCAGGGACAACATGGTGTCAGCTTTGCCTCTGAATGAAGAAAATTGCTGGACTGCAGTTGGGGAAGGAAGTCTTGAAGAGTGAGAAAACAAATTTCAGAAGAAAAGATGGAGCAAAGCTGGGAAATAAGAACAGTGCCTTCTCTTTCTCTATGTCTTTGTTATGCAAACTCTCTGTGTCTCATCTGTATTGTAGAGATAATGGTATCTACCCAGTTCCTATTTCCACTGCTTGATTGATTAATGACTGTCTCATGATCCCTAGATTACACTTTTGTGACACAGCTTTAACTACTGCAGTGTATTACATCCCAGAAAGAAAATGGAAGAAATGTCTTAGCTCTAGCTAGTTCCAGCTGGGAAAACATGATAAACTGACCTGGGCAGGCTTGCCCACATGTACCTGCTTCTAAGAGCTCTTTCTAAAAGTGTACTGGAGCATGTGATGTCTTTCAACTATCTGCCTAACTTTGAATGGAAGGGGACTTGCACATTCAGTGAGGTGCTTTGCTGAACCAGGAGCTGGTGCTTGGTCAAGGCAGGGTTTCATCATGAGTCTTTGAAGACCCAGTGAACACACAGGGCCAAAGATGGATCTGAGATCTGCCCTAGTGTGACTAGGAGATGAGATAAACAACTGGAATATTTAAGAATAGTGAAGTGTGCCAAAAGAGAAGGTTGTTTGAGCAGAAGAGGGGATCTTCATTGTGCAATGATAGCTGCAGTAAGACACTTTGAATTGCTAAGAGAATTAAAAGGCTTTTCTATCTGCTTTCACTGGTCTACAATAATACAGCAATAACCACCTCAGTCTGGTACTTGAGTTAAGATGATGCTGAGATCAGGAGGCAAGCTGGAAGAAAAACGTGCAAGGAAAGTTGGTGTATAGGGTAACAGCCATCAGATATTTTAGATTCTGAAAACAAGTTGTGGCAAGTGCTTTTTCTTGACTTTTTTTGTTAGAGAGTTCCTCTCTATGCTACATGAGTGTCTACAGCAACAAAGGCACAGGTGTTAGGAACATCACTCCTCAGAGTTAGAGCAATGTGTGTATTTGCCATGATGGTTTTTTCTGCTCCCAAGGGATGTGCTCCAAGTGTGGAAGGTGCTGCACCTAGACTTTTGAGTTACTTCAGGTGTGCTCTCAGTACAGGGCACTTCATTCTGAGGGAACTGTAATATTATGTGTTGGAGGACACAGTGCATCTGTTTCACCTCTTCTAACTTTTATTGTTCCTTTTTGAGGAGCAATATTGGTACTTCAGCAGAGGAATGCCCGTAATCTGTCCCACTTCCATTTCAGGGTAGAACTGAGGGAAGGAGGTGAGAAAAGGAAATCTAATTCACAGTTCCCTTGGGAATTCCCCTATGTAGCATGAGCCAAGTATATCCTTGCTATACGTCTGCTGAGGTCAGTAGATTTATACAAGTAACAGAATAATTGTTCCTGTGTGTTCAAGAGAAATAATAACTCAAAGAAACATAACCTTAATTATCTAGACTTAAGATGAATTTGTAGAGAGCAGAAAATATGATTTCCCATTGTAAGTGTTTTGTGAGGTTAATAATTATTGACTGAGTAGAGCAGATTTTTGTGTTTTCTTACATGTGCATTCTATTTGTCATACGTATCATGACTGAGGAACTGGAAGTGCTACCCATTCAGGATTAGTAACTTTATCTTTAAAGTCTTGGCTGTAGCTGATATTTTTTTCGAAGGCTGACCTCAGTGGCAAAGTAAACTCTTAGTAATTATGTGGTTTTATTCTAGATCTATATAAATCTCTGCTTTGCTACTCCTGTGATCATTTTCACCTGAGCAAAACTGATTGTTTCCTGTAGCAGGAGTATTTTTGCAGCAGGAGATACAAGGTTCCCACAAAAGAGGCAAGTCATCAGAAAAATGTGAGCTCACTAACTCTTTCTAGTCAAAGGACAGGAAGTACCTAAAGTATTAATATAATCACAGTTCTGTGTGGTGGGGAAGCTTGCCTGCCATTTAGGAACATTTCTACTACTCTTCTACTTGCATGTTTATTTCGGTCTCTTCTAAATTCTGCCATCTGGATTGAATGACACTGTACATTTGCCTACTAAATAACTACACAAGGTGGCAGGGGAAATCCCAGCCAGGAACTTCCTAGAGGGCCAGCAGAGGTCATTCAGACCAGGACCGTGCTGTAGACTTGAACAGTTGTGACTCTGACGTGGCTAAAAGCAGGCAAAACCCTCATGCTCTCTCCTGGCACCTCACTGCCTGTTGAGATCTGGTGGAGGTACATGGCTTCATGAAAGATGAGATAAGCAGACACACGTGAAAAGGAATGCTCTTGTCAGCTTAATTGATGCAATTTGGGCTGATGATGTAACTGTGGTGGCAGGGAAAAACACCTTCCATTTGTGTGTGCCATGTCTCCCAAGAGGGCTCTGCTGACTGAGTGACCTTGCTGTCACCACTGACGGCGTGGACAGGCTCTTCCCCAGTGCAAACAACCACATGCGTTACCTGAAGACTGACTCAAGCTGGTTGTAGTGCTGGAGACTACCTCTGGTGGCAGAAGGGGGTTTGCGAGCTCCTCCCCAGCTGGGTTTGCTCAAGCAGCTCAAATGGCCTTGCCTGCAGTAGATGAGGGAGCAGTCACACAAGTACTGCTGCTGGCAGGAGGTGCAGGAGCACCGAGCTGTAGGAGACACATGGTGAGAAGCAGCAAGGTGGGAGGGAATGGGTGATATCTTTAGCCAGTTATGATCTGAGCATCTTTTGGTGTAGACAGTGCCTAAAGTAACGCACAGGACTCGTTAGCACAGTGAGCGTCGGGTGCCACCCCTGTTCTGCAGGGCACTGCTAAAGCTACAGAGGAAGTTGCAGTGGAGTCATTTATAGAACTCTGGTTTGCTGGCTTCCCCGTGCCAGCTCAGGTGATAGATTCTGTTTTTTACTAAGCTGTCTTTCTCCTGGATGGAGGAAGGCAAAAGATAGGTCCACTGTGGGAAATCAGGACTGAGGGAGTTGAATGGACAGACTTTCTCTTTGACTAGATCTGGTCCCCTAGGCTATGACTGCACTAAGCCCAACAGACTTCTGGTGACCCCAAGCCCCAGGAGCTTGAGATGCTTCTTTAAAAAAATATATTAAAAAATCCCTTGGATGTTGTCATGTCCAATCTAATATTGTTGCTGAAGTTTTCATTAGTTCATTCCATTAGTAATTGGAGAGAATTTTTGACCTTTTTGGGGAGGTTAGGACCAAGCTGAATTCTGACTGCTGTCTTCAGGTACAAAAGAGGTCTGGGTTATTACCTTTCACACGTGTTGTTCATTTAATTGGATGATGCTGTATCTCTTTAAAACAGAAGCCCTGGCCTGAGAATGAATGGATGCTCTGAGATATCCCCAAGGAGTCTGCCTCTGAGATTAACCTAATTGGTCACTGTGCTGAGTCTAATGGAGATTGTATGCAATGTCTTTCTCTGGAAACACCTTAGATAGCCTGGTTTGTGGCATGGAAACTGCTGCTGTTACCTCTCCATGGAAATGGAAATGGAAGAAAAATAGAAGTAGAAGTGGACAAATTATCACAAGCACCATAGTGTAATTGTTCACGGTCCAGTATATTCAAACAGGTCCAAGAAATGAATCTTCTGAAATACCTCATCTAAGCTGATGTCATCTTGTGCACTACACAGATACCTGTTGTATATAGCCAACAACTCTGCGTGTTAACTGCTGAGTAGAACAGGCATGGTGGGCCCTCTGTTTAGGCTTTGAGAGCAGGGAATGTTGCTGCAGGCCTTGCACAAGGCTGTGGACAGCTGCAGGCAGAGGAACACCTCCAGCTCTGGTCCTTCTTCCCGTACAAAGCCAGCAGCAGCTCTTGACCCTGAGGGCTAGATTTGGCCTGCAGGAGGTCAGCAGAACACCCCAGGTACCACGCTCGCCTTCGCCGCATTAACCTGTGCTGCTGTTTCTTGCCTTTAAGTGGAAATGCTGGCAGAGCTCTCTTGTTTTACAGTGCTTGTGAGGATGGGGCTCATCAGATCAACTTTCCCCACCTTGTAAGCTCTGCCTGCCTTTTGTTGGCTTTCTTCAGAGACAGATTTTTTTGTGTGTGAGATGATACCTGTTGTATCACACTGGATTAAATTACAGTCCAAAACTGTTTCCAGAGTAGTGAGTTTACCCACTCTGTGAGGCCAGGTTCTCTGCTATGGTTCAGCATCACACCGTGACTCCAGCAGCGAGGAGCCTGTCGATGCAGGACACAGACAGCAGCAGGGATTTCCAACCCACCAGGGGAACTCTGCTGATAAATCCCTGGCAAAAGGGGGTTCCTTGGCTCTTCTGCACGCGGGGGGTGGGCTAGTGCCGGGTGCTGAGAAATCTCACGTGTCTCTTTCACTGATCTAGGGTTCAACCTAGATACTCAGGGCATCTCCTTGACTGCTGTAATGTCTGGGCTGTGCCAACGCTGACTCAGGAACTTGTCATCCTCTCTCTGGTAGCTCCTTATCTCTTGCACCACGTACAGTCTGTGCGCCTGGCACGGTACTCCTGAACAAGTGCTTGAGAGCTTGTCTATTTTGACCTGGCTGTACAAATTCTTCCAATGGAAGCTGTTAACTCTCCTTGCAAGACTTTCCTTTATCCTTGGATCACTGTTGCTCTAGCAATGTTGTCTCTGCTTACAGCTGTGTCCTCCTTTGTGGTCTGGTCTGGGTACTCATCTGCTACTGAAACAGTTCTGCTAGCCATTTTTTTTTTCTCTGACTTCCATGCTGGGAAAGTTATACAGGCCTCTTTTAGTCTATCAGGTGAAATTATTCAATATATACAGAAATGAAGTAGATGTCTCAATGAGTCTGGCTCTCAGAGAGGCTAGGATAGACATGCGTTTGTGAGTCTTTACAAAGCTGCCAAGTTTATGCTAAAAAGCTGAAAGCCCAGAAAGTTTGAGTCATTCTGTAGCCCATCTGGAAATCCTGTTTTGCCTTTGCTCACGTTCACACCCTTTACATCATCAGATGTCGTGCAGGGACAGACGTAACTGACCATTATGAGAAAACTGAATTTACACTTTTCTGCATTTTCTGGCTTGCCCTCGCAGCTTGTGGTAGGATTTTGAGCAATCTGTCATGCTTAACCTAACATCAGGCAAGCCATTCTGTGTTTTGGTTGAGTCCTGGTATCCTACCTCTGTACGGTTGCAAAGGGTGAGTGATTGTAGCATTTAGGAGCTGCTTATAGACTAGGAGTTCCAGAGAGTAGAGCCAAAGGAGGGGCTCAGACAGTCATTCATTATATAATGCTTAATAGTGGTCTGATATTCTTGTATATGTCATGTTTTCTTGTGCTTGGATCTTTTGATGAATGTTGTGTTAACATCTTGCAATGTTATGTGAGGGTGAGCAGAGCAGAGTACTTGATCTCTTCTGGGAACGTGCTCTGGAGCTGGGAGTCTGTGGTCTGAAGGTGCTCAGGAGCCTGGTGATACTGGTCTCTGTGGAGCATGGGTTTCCACCTGCATCTACTTTTCTGGGTCTAGAAAGGAGAAGCAGCTGTTCAGGTGGCTTGAACTTGGTGCACTGTGCCCTTGTGGAAACCAGTGGTGTTTCAGGGTGCCTGAGGAAGTGGTGTAAGGCAGGCTGGGGACTACTGATCCCTTTGGCTTGATTTGTGGTAGGGTAGGTACCACAGGTTTGCAACTAGCTCCCTCTTCATTGGTCATAGTAGGCCAACCCAGATGTGAAAAATACATGAACATGGCCAGACCACTGCTTAAAAAGATAATTATGGAGGGACTGGAGAGAGAGAGTTAGAGAGAGGAAGGCCTTTTTGATGGTTGTGTCCCTTAGATTGTCTACATTAGTGGCTGTTATTGAATCTTAAGCAATGTTAGCTCATAGTTTGTAACATTTCCCACTGCCAGCCAGCCTCACTGCTGTCTCTTCTGACTTCAGCCTCTGCCAGCCATGCTGCCCTTGCTTTTAACACCAAGATTTGGGAGAGTGCAATCTGCATGAGGGGGGGAAAGATACATAAAGCTGCATGTCATCAACGTGATGGCTGGGATGGCTGCTGGTGCACTTCATCGTGTGCCCTGGAGGTTTTGCATAGTTATTAAATAGAAGTGGTGGAAGAATTGAGCCCTGTGGCATTCTTCATGCCAAGGCTCATGGAGAGGAGGAGCAGCCACCTGTCATGGGCTTCCTGGGGTCTGTTGGGAAGGAATGGGCATAGCCAGCTCAATGCAGTTCTCTCAGCACTTGGCAAGACGTGGTTGGTCAAGCTGTACCTCTTGGTCTGCAGTGCTGCAGGCAGCTGATAGCTCAGGTAGTGTCTGCATGATTTCCTAGTCTCTGTCCATCTTTGTGAGAAGGCCCAAGGTTCCACTGGTGCTTCATTCCCAGACTCATTCATGAATGTCTCCAAAAGGAGAGTGAAGAGTATTTTCTAAGTCACATGGCATCACTTGTTTCCCACCACTTCTAAGATCTTGCCCAATCTGAAACTGGATGACAGTGCTGCTGAAGAACAATTTCTGATTAAAATGTCTTTTTCAGTTGTCCTCAGCGTTCATTACAGTACTGAATGCTCTAAAATAAGACAAGAGGCTGAAAGTATAGTAAATGCCCTGTGGTCTTGAGGAGAGCAAGTCTCACATTTTTGATCATGGCTGGGGACCACTGCAAACTTCAGAAGGAAAAGTCTGTTGCTTTCTTTTACTTGATTAGTCATCTCTTTGTGTGCTATCCGCTTTTTACTTGCCTAGTCATGTAGTGAGCATGGTTTTAGAGGGAAATGAGTAGAAAGAGGCCTGGCCTCAGGAACTGGAGTCAAAAATAAGAGAAGAGGCTGAAAGTATAGTAAATGAAATCCCTGTGGTCTTGAGGAGAGCAAGTCTCACATTTTTGATCATGGCTGGGGACCACTGCAAACTTCAGAAGGAAAAGTCTGTTGCTTTCTTTTACTTGATTAGTCATCTCTTTGTGTGCTATCAGCTTTTTACTTGCCTAGTCATGTAGTGAGCATGGTTTTAGAGGGAAATGAGTAGAAAGAGGCCTGGCCTCAGGAACTGGAGTCAATGTAGGTTCATACTCAAAGGATCTGGTAGAAATTTAAGAGCTGCACTTAAAGACGACTGGCTCTTTGTTATACAGGTTTTCCAGGGGTGATGTGGACCTGTAATCATGGTTGAGCTTGGCTGGTTATGTCTTCAGTGAGTGCTCTCCTTCTCTGGACCCCAACCTGAAATGCGACAGGCACTGCAGGAGGGCTGTGCCAGATTCTGCCCAGCTTGTAGCTTTTGTGAAAGGTGTCCCACACTCCAGTAGCTGGGACTTTGCAGGATGGGGTGGAAACCAGTGGTGGAGAGCTGCTCCACTGTCTCCAGGGCCCATCAGGATCCCTTATCAGTAGAATCAAATGTCCTGAAGTGGCTGGAGTGAAGCCAGGCTCCTGGTCCTTGTTGCTAACTTATGGGCTTACAAGCCAGGCCAGGTCTTGCAGGTTTGCTTGTCTCCTTTTTTTCACTCAAGGAACGCCCAGACAGAGGAGTCATGGCACGAGAGACTGTACAGTAAACTAGAGTCAAAGCCTGCTCATAGTTAGAGCAGACAGGCCAAGGTTGAGAGAAGGGAAGGTTTGTTTTTCCCTGACCTGATTCTATGATAGAAACCCTCAGTTTCTTAATGCTTACAAGGACAGTGGCCTCACAGAAGTCACAGAGTCTGATCCTCCATACTGGTGCATGCTCTGATGCCAGCGCTGACCTGCAAGGCTGCATCAGATGGCTCCAGCCTCATGCCACCATCCCAGGACCCACAGGCTGGAGGAGCTTTCTGAGTGCTCCCTTCCCATGTCATGCTGCACTTCAGCTGCTCCAGGGCTGCTGTTTACTTCCAGTCCCACCCTTTTTCACTGAAAAAGAGCCTCCTACTAGACATACACCCCTCCTGTGCAGCCTTGCAGAAGACTGCAGTAGCATAGGTTGTTCTTTTCCGAGCCTGGGAGCTTTTATTAGTCAGGCAGAAGCGGGTTATTTTGGTGTCCTCGGGCTGGAATGGAGCTGCAGAGCCAGCACGTGTGCCAGCAGAGTCACCAGTCTCCTGTGCCAGGCAGCTGGGGCTCCACCTGTGGCCCTGCAGTGGGGGGCTGTGTGCTTTTCACAGGGTGCTGCCAACTTTCTTCTCTTTCCAGTTGTGTTCCTTTCTGTATGATTCACCTTCCTTGGCCGGCAGTGCATGTCTGCTCCTTGATTTTTTTTTCCCCCAGCATCTTTGAAACCTAGGCATATGCTGATGATTTTGTGCCATTAATATCAATCTAGACAAGTCTGTGTGACCTTTCACTCCCGTGTCCAAAGGGAAGAATCGACCCTTGCAGTCAGTCACAGCACAGCACTGACTCATACATACTTTTCACAAAAATAATGCAGAAATTCCCCATAGTTTTTACAGATATTTTCTTCAGGAGATGAAGTGTAAGTCTTCCATAGCAACACAGCTTGGGAAAACTCTGAAGCATGTAACATCAGCTAATTAATCTTTCTGACATATGATACACTTTTTACTATTAATGTTGTCTGTTGGCTTTTATTTCTCTTCATGTATCTGTCTTTCTCAAACTCAGCCGATCTGTTTGAGTTTCATTTGAGCTCATGTGCTCTCCAGTCTTATTCCCACCCTTGTCTGCTCTCCAGATCCATTATAAACTTCCTGGAAGGGGGCTGGGGTTTGTCCCACCAGGAACACAATAGCTGTAGCTTCCCTTTTTTGCCCTGATTCTAGGAATACTTGCTGATTTTCCTGCAGCAGATAAAATATGCTGTGCTTAGATATGTAGCACTGAAAACAAAGAAAATAAAATCTCTAAGTTTAAAGTTCCTTAATAAAAAAAACCAAAACAACCAAACAAAACACCCTAACTGAAATTTGGAATGAGCCAAAGTCATTCCTGTGAACACTGATGGTAAAACACAACAACCCAAAAGTAATTGCAGAGGAGCTGTTTTCCACTGAGATATGACTGTCATAAGGAAATATTGCTTCTTTACTTTCCTGTATTTGATTATTTGGCACCTTTTAAAAAAATTCCACTTATAATTAAAGTCAGGGCAAGTTGTCAAGGCCTCAGTATCTGAATATCTTTCCACTGAATACTTAGGGGCTGGGGTTTTTGATGGTGCTTGCTCTAGTGGGGCCAAGGCAAGCTTTCTTAAAGTATGGAGGTGACTAAATGCTTCTCCTCAATTATTATGTTTCTTCAAGGCAAAAGACGCATATTTAAAATCTTTAGAAGAAATGTAGTGAAGCAGCTAGACTATGAGATTGTGTCAAGAGCAAATTTGACCCATCAACTTGGTAGCTTCTCTGCCATTGGGATGGAGAAACTCCTTTTCTCCCTCATAGAAAAATCTGCAATTTAATCTTGCACCTTCCTTGACAGTGTCATTAAAAGCTAAATATTTAACATTCTAAGATATATAGTTATTTTCACTCTTAGAAGAAGGTGGAAACTGAGGTCATCTCCAGCCAGATCCTACATCTAGGTTGCTGAGATGTGTTGTTTTTGTTAATACAGATTCTTTGTGGTGTGCATACTCTAAGGGCTGGAGTCATTTTTAGCATAAAAGAAAGCTGTGCAGTGGTGGCAGTTTGTTGTTACACAGCTTTGCTCTTCCTTCCAGTAGAATCCTTGGAGTTAGTGAGCATCCCTGGCTTCATGCAGGGGGAATCTGACATAGCTCTGTGGAAGCTCCAGTGTTTGTGGAAAGAGCTGTTAATCTTTGATCAACTGGAGTCTCCTTGTTACTGACTTTGATTACACAAGTGTACAACTTTAATTACAGCTTTTAATAAGCTTTCATTTCTTCCTAGTCACATTCTTTGTATAGTAGTGCAGCTTATCTTTTCCTTTCTCCTCTGGTCCCCTTCCCTCCCCCCTGCCTTTTTATGGAGAAGGGGGTTTGAGGTCATTGCGGGGACTCGGTGTCCGGAGGGATCCCACTGTGCACGCCCTGCCCACGGCTCTGCCCCCTGCTCGCTTGGACAGTCCAGAGAGCTCCCTCCTTCAGCTGCCCTGCAAAGGTCCCTGCACTGCCTGGGAGCTGGTGGCCGGTGGAGCTGGGGGGGACAGGGCTGTGAGGCACCACAATCTCACAGACATTCACTGCTGCACGAAACCAGTGAACAACCCTTCCAAAGTCCCTGTAGCCAAAGGACGTACTGACTCCTGTGTGCCAATCCTGCCACTCCACCTCGGGGAGGTCTCTCAAGGACTTCCCCCTTCTCTCCCTTGCAACTCTGAAATGCAGCAGCTGAAGCCAGTAGGAAGCTGGTGGGCTCCAGCATCCAGATGTGATGCTTATTCCACGTTCAGGGGCTCAGCATACTGGGTAACCTCTGCTCGTTAGAGATATGACCTGGTGGAAGCTTTGTGAGAGGGTCACAGACTTGTAAATAATTGAGATATGGCTTAAAACAAGCATAAAAAAATGGTTCTTTCCCGTGAATCATATTTCAGCTCTGGAACTCATCATCCCACAAGGTTTTATGGATGAGAGAGATAAATGAGTTGAAGAGTTGGTTGGATAAAATCATGGAAGAAAGATTCATCAAGGTCTATTAAATATATAATTCCCACCATAGGGTAACTTGAGACTCGGGGAGGTTAAGTTCTGATCATCAGAAGTGCCTCCCTCTGTATTTGCCCTGGTCTTGTGTTCTTCCCTGAACATCTGTTGTTGGCCCCCATCAGCAAAAGGCTTTTGGGCCAGTGGAGTCCGTGGGGGAAAGA